GTATGAGGCTGAGTAAATCTGCAAGAAAAAAAAGGCAGTACAATTTGGCAGAGGTTAGAATTAGCAACATCAGATGTTCAGACCGACATGATGTTGAAAGAGAGCACAGCAGAGCCTGCTGCCCATAAAGGTCTCTGATGAGGCCTGCGCAGTTGATGGCCAAAGATTTCTGGTTGTAATTTAAAAAATAAATAAATAAAAATGAAAATCATTCAAACAGATGCAAAACCTCTTTACAGTGTTGGCCAGTATTTATTCTTGACTGTCTGCCAGAGATGCAGCCAACAGAACTACAGAGGCCACACAGCCAAATGCATCACAATAATTCACTGCATAAACAGGATGGGCACTGTTGCTAACAGCGACAGGGGAGAGGGGGTGGAGGGGGTTGGGGTCATAGCATGCTGTTCAATCTCTGTATACATCATAAGGCCAACATTTATAAAGTACCATTTGATATAAGGGGGTGCGAAGCCAGACTAAAAAAAAAAAAATACATGCCTTTGTTCAGAGAAAGTATAACAAACAAACTTCAGATTAATGCTCTTTTTTTTTTTTTTGTCATACGGCTCTGTAATCCAAAACAACAATTGCTCTTTTAATCATACTCCTGTCCTGGAAAACACTTGCACTTGAATTAAATGGGATACTATAATACAATTTATTTTGAAAACCACAACTGGCACTAAAGTTATGCACCGTCCTCAAATTATTTATCCATTCTGTAGATTAGAAAACGCTTGCTTCAGACCTCAAGAAAAACCATCTCAATATGTTATTCATGGGCATATGAAAGAAAATGGTTGATGCAGATAGATGTGTTTTGTTATATTTCACGCTGCTGCTCTGTGGTAAGCAGAGTGATGGTCTGCAGATTCAGTTTTTGGAATCGTATTAATTTGTGAACGAGCCGTTGACCCTCAGAGGTCTTCTGGCTCGTTCTTAGACCCGCTTTCTTCCGAAATGGATACAAAGTCTATTTAGAAAGTGCAAGAAAATGTTGAAATCACATTGTTATATGTTTCTGGAAAAAGAAAAATGCTCTTGTACTCCTTTATCAGTACTGTGCAAGTCTTCATTATCTCTTTATATTAGATGCAAAGATGGGATGTGTTGAGTCGTGGATGTAAAACATCAATAAATTATTTTGTATTGCAGGGTAGGGTCCACATTAATGCGCATTAAAGCTCTGGTTTCAGTTCTTTTTGGGGAGTTTTTCAGCCTACCTGGAGTTAAATGAGGCAGGAAAATGTTGGTGGGGGGTGGTATCGCGATGCCCTATTTAGTCAGTCTGGTGATTTATATTGCCATGATTTTCACAGACCATTAGTGTGGAGGTTACGATACATTCTTTATTTAATTCTTGGAAAACTGCAATGCATTACAGTGGATGTGCATGTTCCTCTCTCCTTTTCCTACTGCTGTTCTTCTATTTGTTTGTTCATCCTGCACACAAGAGCGTAGCTGACGTGTGACAACTATTGTAAAGCACTTGATATGGTATAATTTGGTGTCCTTCAAGTGGACTGAATTTCTTGTTAAACAATTCCCTTTTTTTGCATTCTTTACTCTGTTGGATGTCAAAAATAAATATCTCACAACTTTTGCATGTTGACAAAGACTTTGTTTAAAGGCAAAACCAAAGGTGAGGCAACCTGATTGGTGTAATTTAATGACACATTCTGATTTATTATGAAATACTTCTGTCATATGTCAAATAAATGGTAAATGGACTGCACTTAAACAGCACTTTTCTATGCTTTTTGGACAAAACGCTATACAATTTCTGCCGGTCATTCACCCATACACTAACAGTGGCGGAGCTGCCATGTAAGGTGCTAGCCTGACCATTGTGAGCAGTGGGGTCCAGTGTCTTGCTCAAGGACACTTCGACACATGGAAAACAAGAAGAACTGTCCAGTGTCTTGGTCAAGGACACTTTGTCACATAGAAGACAGGAAGTAAACAATATTGTCATTGTTATTGTCTTCTTCTTATTGTTTCCTTAGTGTCAGAGCATCAGGTTGTGGGAAGTAAGCAGTAATTCCTTCAAAATTTTGTTTTATTTTATGCTGGCAGTATTTCACAGCCAGTCTCGTTTTGATTGAAATAAATAAATAGATAAACTTAAAGTAAAACCTTGATATACAAAAGGAAGTTGTATACCACAGTAATGATGCTTTTCCTGGAATGCTTTAATCCAATAAACAATGATAACCAATTTGATACAACAATAAAAAAATGTGTTATGCTCAGTACAAGTTATAATCTTGTATAGACCCTATAGTTCTATTTGCAGACCAAGGAGTTTTTGTTGATGGATTGTTAAGATTACTACAGTACTTTATATTCAGTAAAGCTGCTCATTATTACGTACTGTACATTCTGGCCTTTCTGCACCCATAAGGCTAATATGAAAACATCATTAAGATGTTTTTTTTTTTTTTTTTTTTTTATCTTGTTGCTGACCTTTAGGTCTCTGCGGTGACTTTCATTCATTTATATTTACCTATTGGCAATTTTGTTTTTAGAGAGGATAATGGTGGGTACTGGAGTGGACAATTGTCCTCACCCAATTTTCCCTGAGATGAGGAGTTGATGTCTCAGAGGAATTTCCTATTTTAAACAAAAAGAAAAACACGCAAACAATACCGATTTGTGCAGTAGTTTGGAGATATTTGTTTACTTTTAAAGGGGAACACCTTTATGAAGGAGCAATCACTCAGTCTGGTTTTACAGAGCCTGCTTTGTTGGGCTGTCAGCCATTGTTAATTAAACTCATCGGTAACCTTTACAAAAAGGTGAATTATGTCTCCCTAGCAATGGGTCGTCAAAAATGTCAATAACAGATTAAAAGGTGAGACGAAGAGAGAGAGAATGCATCATCAGGGTTGAATCGTGGAGGGCTTTTGCAGATCTGTACAATACGCACGAAATTTTAGCCCAGCTTATTAGCAGGGTCTTTCGAGCTTTGTCCTCCGATTGGCAACTTTATCACAGTGATATATTGAACACAGCTTCTATTAAAAGAATATCCCAGAGAGACCAACATTTCATTCACAAAGGATGTGTAATTACCAGCTGTGGGAAGAATAGCTTGCACAAGGAGATCAATCTTTAGGCTTGATTGTTTGTCCCATTCTTTGCTAATGCAGGCCAGCTATACTGCGAATTTCTGCTCTGCAAGACTAAATTGGATCTATTTTTCGCATTCACTAGCTTGCAGACGAAGAGTAAACATGGTTCTATGCGGTTCAGCCTCTTATACATTGCCATTGTGAGTGGTATGCAAACTTGCACAATAATATTTCATAGTTCACGTATGAAATACTGCATTTGAGGTTTTCTTACATTGTAACAAATTCAATCAACCATATTCTCAAACTCAAGGCACGTAAAATCATACGGATAATTAATTTTCCCGTTATTCTTGTCTGGGTGACCTTATAAATGTTACAGTTTCTTCTGTAACTGCTCGGGTGTAATATGAATGTAGCCTACTGTACTTTCCTCTATTCATTTCAGTACACAACAGATCATTAAATTATCACAAAAATGATGAACATGTTAAATTTTAACATCAAATTCATTCCCTCTGCCTCGTAATGAATTTCACAAATCTGATTTTTCAAGCCGCTTTTCATAGTTTCTGAAGTTTACAAGCTGCTCCGTCACGCAGATTATAATAGCTAATAATAAAAGTCAATGCCACACATCAATCACTTCACCAATTCGGCGGCGAAATTGCAAATGCCTCCCTCTTAATATTTAACCATGATTTAATTACTTGTCCATCACCTGTCTTGCTTGCTGCCATTTCAGTAGATGAGAACCTTGCAGGTAATCAATGACATCTCCTTCAGGTTGGAAATGCTGGTATCAACCCACGGCTTGAGAAAAGCAACAACTTCACCACCAACCAGATCTTTTCCACCTTCCCATCTCTGCTTTCTGTTTAATTTCAACCTTTAAATTTGCAACTTAACTTTCCCCAATACAGGGGTTTATTTTGTTTTTAAATAAAATAAAATAAAATTTTTTTTTTTAAATTACTAAAAGATGCTAAAATTTTCGGACATTTTTCTCTGTATCAAGAGGAAAAAGCCAATCATTTTCACTCAGTATTGCCAAAGGCTCGCAAAATGTATAATATCACTACAGTACACAACCAATACCTAGAAACTGCATTTTCAGGCCAGTCCAGATAAGCATGGTTCAGGGCTATGGCATGATTGATCTCCTAATACAAGGATTTGCTTATTATCACACTTTCACCAGCTCGTAGCAGTATAATTACTGTGAGGGAGTCAGGGTGTCACAGAATTGGAAAGGAAGGGGTAAAAACAAAATGACAATGCTTGGAAATGAAAGAAGAAGAAAAGATGGATGTCTTCAAATAACTTAATAATTTTAAAAAAATACATGTAGCAATGTAATTTGATTCACTTGAAAGTTTAGTTATATAGTCAGCACCATAATTCATTGGACTTTTGAAAAAGGTTTTTTATTACCGTCGGTCAAGTCAGTCACAAGATCTGAATCCAATTGAACATGTATGATACATGCGAAAGAAGAGACTGAAGACAAAAAAAAAAATCTCTGAAACAGCTTGGAACTGAAGATGGCTGCAGTACAGGCTTGGCAGAGCATAATGGGGAAGATCCAGCATCTTATGATACTGGTCTATACCGCAGACTTCAAGCAGTCATTGCCTGCAAAAGATGTATGACCGAACATTTAAAATTATGTAATTCTATATTATTTTAAACTCTTAATGCACCCAAAATTCGGGAACTATGCACAAAAGGTGCAGATACTTATGAAAGGTTCATGCGATATGAATGAAAATGTACTGCACTGTACAGTCTGCACTGTAATCTCATTGACATTGTACCCAATCAAACTCCTAAGTGCTAGGGTATAGACCCAAAATAAAACAACGTCACTATCCAATGAATTACACAACTCACAGTGTATAAAAATTCAATATATGTCAGGGCGGCACGGAGGTGCAGTGGTTAGCACTGTTGCCTCGCAGCAAAAAGGCCATGGGTTCGATCCCAGCCTGGGGCCTTTCTGTGTGGAGTTTGCATGTTCCCCTTGTGTTCGCGTGGGTTTCCTCTGGATTCTCTGGTTTCTGCCACCCACAAAAACATGCATCATAGGAACACTCCTACCAGTGGCCCTGACCAAGGAACTGGCTTTAGAACTTGAGTGTGGCTGCCCACTGCTCCTAACTATAGGATGGGTTAAATGCAGAGGACGCATTACCCCACGGGGTTCAATAAAGTATATCTGATTATTTTATTCTTTGCTTATTCATGTTTTCATGCGCTGTTCATATTTTCAGTTTTACATTTTCCATGTAATAATTTCTACACCAAATATTTTCCCTTTGCGAAGGAATACTTCTAAGACGTTGTTATTTTGAATTCTCATTATCTAAAGGTCAGGCGGATTGCACATAGAAGGTGCTTAGCACCAGTGTAAGTTTGCTGTTGTTGTTGGGGAATTTGTTCGGTGGATAACAGATGGTCTTGTTTTAGGTGTGACTCTGTCCTTGTGTGGAGAGTGCTAGTGGGGCTTCTGGATGGTGAATTGGGGGTGGGGGGGTGGGTGGGGGTGTGATAGCAGAAGGAAACATTATGGAGGACCTGCTTTTAGCGGCCAATTCGAGGCGTCCCGCATTTTGCCAGCTCTTACGTCGCAGTCATGGCGGACATCTGTTTCACGATACCCGTTTAGGTGGGGGTGGGGCGGGTGGGGGGAGGTTGTCATAAATGTCAATAACCCCATTACAAAACCAGCGGTATTCCTTTGGGACAATCCCCACATCCACTTACCCTCCCCCGTCACACATCCTCAGTTCTAATCCAGAACTCAAAATATAAAGTAACGACCAATCATCAGTTTGCGGTAATTTTGAGTCCAAATTGATGCCTTTTGGAGCTTTTACAATGCAGGATAGAGCACTTTCTCAATGCTACATTAAGCCGGTGGTCTGTGCAGGTAAACCTCAGTGTACAGTAATTCTATTCTATTACTAATGAAGCCTGGAACCCTAGCCAGTGAATGCATGGGGCAGTTTCTGAGCCCTTCAAGGTCTGTTTGGTTTGATTGTACCTTTGCTCGCAGTGGCTTCAACGCGGTCAGTTCTGTGAGTGTCCTGGTGCAATGCTGCTGAAAGTTATGTGCATAATAATCACACACTGCGGCCATTGAGGAATTTTATCTCTGTCGAAGCATGATGGTTTTGGAGTGAGAGACAAGACATGCACGGGAGAGAAAGGGAACTCGGCGCTCAATGATACATCATTTTCTCTCTTTACAAGTAGTGTTACTGCTAAACGAATGTGGGTTGAATTCCATTTTAAAGTGCTATTTTTGATTTGGAAAAAAATGAAAAGGTCACTATTTAAGAGGCAAGACTAATGTTACACTTCCTATAGAATTACAGCACAGAATCAATAACTAAAATGATTGAAATAAATAATTTAGGCAACAACAAATAATGAATCTGGAGGGATTTAATTGCTGGGGAGAGATGTATGCAGTATTATGTGAATTATTGGTTTCCTAAGTCATTAACAGATCACCAGTTTTTACAAACATAACTTCTGTTCAATCCAGATCTCCCTGACATGCAAAACGATTTTTATGCTTAAAATGTCTCCATTGTTCTACAAAAAAGAATATTGATTACAAAAAGGATTAAAAAGGTCTGTACAATAGTTTGGTGTGTTTGTGTTCTTTAATAAGCTTTCTGTGTGAGAGTAATAATGCTTGCTGTACATGATTTTAAAATAACAATACTGACAAAATTTCTGCTCATGAAAAGTAGCTTGCAAAAGCTGTTTTTAAGTATTTAATTGACCAATTATTATAGCCATTCCGCCTTATGGTCTCATTTGTCAAGAGACTGATAAGATGGGAAATTAGATCTATTCACCCTTGAAGGATAATGTTACATCCTGATGTGGACAAATTGCTGTCGTACCATTTCATGACCAAGTCCAATTAGCTGAAAGTAAGAAAAATTAAATATGCAACCTGATACATACTGTCTACTCTAACTGAAATAAGTGTAACTAGTTCAGGCAGGAAACTCGAGTAGAGCTACATCAGCTGACAGCAGCCTGGTAAGTTATCAGCCACGTCAGCATCAGCAGGCACACAAAAATTGGAGGATACACATCACCTGAGGTAATACAGCGGTCTATTTACAAGACGTCAAGCTCACTCACTTCTGCTGCTGTTTGCAATGACTTTTCATGCTATGCAACACGCTCTTTGGTTTTTGCTTGATTATGGATATAATTCTGCTCCTTTAAATTGCTAATCATGTCCCTGTCTCTCAAAAAAAAAAAGAAAACAAACGCTGGAGTTTAATAGCGCTAGGGCAGTGCATGGATACTTATGCGATCTTTTCCTTCAAGATTCATGAATTGTGCGCCCACCTATTTATTTGGCTCAAAGTGGAGCTGGTACTTTTACTCTTTACCCTAGTTTTTCTGTGAAGCGTTTGTACTGGGATTTAACTTCTTAATTTGCGAACTTGAATCGTTTAGCAGTCATGCTCAGGCTGTAGTTCACTGACGTAGTCAGCCAAACAGAATTGCTGGCCAGTGAAGAGGCGGGTCCGGTGAAAATGGCTGTATTCCATGCTTTTATGACTATTCAAATGGTGTGGCTAATATCGTGATGCTCGAATGATCAACGGCGAACATAACGTCAGAAAGTGGTTAGCGTCGACATGGTTCTTTGCGGCAGATGGACAACAAACGTTGACAGGGTATATGGGCGACAATGTTGGCTATAGAAATACTGCCTGGAATTGCTGCCATTGTATTCAAGTAGGGTGGAAACTTCATGAATACTCACTCATACGACTGCGCGGCTGCGAATAATTCCTGTTTCCTCAATTCCGGTTGGAAGCAATGCATGTGTTTCATGATCGTTTATTTGTTTAAATGAAATAAGATCATTGGAAGAAAGACGTTTCAAATGATCTTATTTCGTTTGAACAATTTAAACGATAATGAAACACGCGCATTGCTTCCAACCCCTGAGTAAAGAAAAGCGTGAGAAGTCGGGAGTCAGTGCAGGTGAAAATGATAAACCTCCATGCACAAGGACTTCAGTTCCACGTGAGGATCTTTAACATATGCGTTGAATAATTGCTGACTACAGCAGAGGAACGTAGCTAAATATGCCACTTAAACTCACACCGAATCCCTGAGAGTTGACAGGTATGCGTTATAAATGAAAACACGGGACCCTCGTGTTAGCTACATTCTTCTGTTTCAATTCTTGGACGTTCCAACCATATTCGGCGGCCATTCCGGGAGCGTTCTGACTGCATTTGAGGCGAATTCGTACAGCATTCGAGGCACCTTCCAACCAGACTTCGGGTGGTGTTCAGGCAGCAATTGAACCGGACTCGTACGGCATTAGAAGTGCATTCTAAATATTCTGACTGCATTCTAACAGCATTCTAAATATTCTTACTGTGTTCCAACTACATTCAAGCTGCATTCGAGAGCTAATACACCCAGAATGTGCAAGAATCATTTGAGGCGGGTTCGGAGCGCATTCTAAGTACTCAAACGGCATGCTTTCAAAGCTGTAAGAATTTTGGTCAATTTGAAATTCCCGCCCGAATGTTGCGCGAATTTAGAAAATTCTTCATTCTGGCTGGCTCTGCTTGATTCCTGCTGATTTTGAATAAGTGTGACGGGGGCATTAGGCCGAATCACTTTAATATTCTTGGTGTGCAACCACGTGATTAAATAGCAAGCGCCGCCATGTTGGATGATGTACAAATCAAAAATGGCATCTCGTGCGAGCGATAACAGTGATACATCTCCAAATTTTATTGAATTATTGTGACTCTCTGGAGTCCTCTGCCAAGTCAAGATACAGAGAAAAGGTTGAAATTTGTGGTTTTGACCCATATTATGTTAAAGCTGTCTGATTGTAAGGAGGATTTGGCAACATTACCAGTGATTGAATACCCCGATATCGTAAACTATCTCGTTATTCGAACCTTGCGGGCAACCAACGCACAAATGAAGGCTCATAAGAGTCTAGAAGGGAATAACTTTTTTTTGTGTCTGGCTGGGTTGGTATTCTTCCCACTAATACGAAGTGAAAGAGAACAGGGTGCTGGTTCATGCTTAGGTAAACCATTCTCAAAGAACTCGAGAAACACCGCTCAAGCCGCGCTTTGTGAGTGATAAGAATGGCGATGTGATCCTCGCACATTGTGATTGCATGGCTGGATTAAGCGAGGCTTGTTCCCACATTGGAGCTTTGCTCTTTGCGACTGAAGCTGGATATAGAATCGGGAACTCGAGAACATGTACTGAAGTAAAAAGCAAGTGGCTGCCAGCGCATGTAAACAAAGTGCCGTATTTCCCAGTAAGCGACATTGATTTCAATGAGATGGGATTCTGAAGAAACTCGTCTTTATCACGAGTAGCATTATTGCCGCAATTTAAAAATCGTAAAGTAGGCATTGTTTTCTTTTAAAAGGAAGCGCAAATCCGAAGAAAATCACGAAGCGTTGTAGGAGCTCAATGGTGAAGCGCAGCTATCTTGGTTGTTGTTATCATCCATCATGGTGGACTTCCTGTTTGGAAATTATGAGTGACGTCACGTGCACACCAAGAATTGATGACCTGTGCTATATAATTGGCTGGTTTTTAAAGTTTTTCCCCTTTCGTTAAGGCGAAATTAAATTGATAGTTACCCATAAGTCAATGGGTCTTTAGCTGACCATTGTTTTCCGTTGATTTTCATGTCCTTACTTCGTAGAGGTGTGATTTATGCTTGTGCCGCTTGTTACTTTTTTTTTTTTTTTTTTTTTCTCCCACAATCGAAAATGTTGCTGTGTTCAGTATGGGGATCAGATTGGGAGTTTCAATCCCTGGGAGGGCATTCACTTCATGACTTTAGAATTCCAAGGATTTGGAAGATTTTAGTAAAGCTGCTGTTTTGTGGATTTTATTCCTTATAGTCTGGGAGAATTGATGGGAAAATAACCTAGCATTCAAACATTGCTGTCAGAAATC